ATGTTTATGTCCAAGCATTTCTGAATACAAAAAAGGATGCCGTGTGCACGAAGTTTGGCTACATGGACTACGAAACCTACCTTCTTTCTTGAATCGTAGTACCGTAAGTAGACATGTTCTTAAGGGGAGTTGGAGATTTGGAGTAGAGGCGGGTCCCCAACAGCCGCTCGGATTCTTTGTTGGAGGCTGTCTCCTCTAGGAATTTGGCTCAAGAAACCTAACCATAAGGCAGCGTTTGCCCGCCAACCGATTTAATGACGGTTCATGATTGCCATGTCACAGTGCCGTCATTGGTAGTTGCAGAATTTAATAAGGCAGTTGGCGCGCCCTGGTGACATTGTCGCTGCTGGTCCGCAACTGCCTATTCGCCAGACACATGCGCCTACTTATTTCGCAGTTAACCTTCACTGAAAGCCATCCAACTATCCGCCACCCGTGGATGCACCAGGTAGCCAGCAGCTAGGCTAACACTTATCCCTCCTCGTCACGCGTAGAGAGGTACCGTCCATGATTTCACTGAGGCCGGATAGATCAAGCATGATCACAACCGCATCAGTTCAAATCTCAACTTTCCTCCTCTTCGTGAAAACCCATATTGCGCACCTTGCTTAAGGCACTTATCTGGAGGCCTACTTAAGCGGATGTAGACGTGTGAACTCTGCTATATATGTGTGAACGGTGTGAGCGGAAGTCCTGTCCGACCTTAAATGTGTTTTAACAATGTCTACTGTAAGAATGAGCAGACGCGATCGCATTATTTGTTTCCTTGGACTCGCATCTTTGCTTGTCTCGGTGAAATCTACTTTCCCAGGTAGTCTGCACACCTAACGGTTTATTTAGAAAGTGATATATTTATAAAAAGGGAACGAGAAAAGACCAGGGAGACCAGAATAACCATTTCTGGCTTGTTAGCCGTAATCAACCAGTCATACCCAATTCCAGGGGTGGCGAGCCCCTTGATTCGAACCTCTGAACATTGAGTGCAACACTCTGCCATTGCACCACGGGCTCATTGTTTTTGTCGGTTGCGATCGGGAATATGATAAATGGTAGGGCGCTCACTCCTGAAATAGTATGTATGCCTGGCAGCAGAAGTGACCACTTCGATCCCACCTTATCTTTGTCGGTTTCACTTCATCCTATACTACAGGTCGCTATGCGGCTGCTTGCGAGGGTTCTAGATTGAGCACCAAGGCAAAACGGGCCGTGTATGTTCCCTAACCAGATAGCTGAGTGCCCTACCATTCAAAGTAACCTCTGTTGAGGCAGTGGCCTTAGCTCACACGTCTTCATGACTAACTGATAAATCTTTGAATCAGAACTAACACCAAGCTGTGCGCTCTCTCTATATATTTCAGCATGGAATGTGGCGCCGTGAAGTTTTATGACAAAACCTACGACGCTGTGTCTACACGCAACGAGAAACCCCTGGTCCGTTTCAGTGGTGTCGTCCATGCGGTAACCACCACAGAGGACCCCGTTATCCAGAAACTGGCCCGCGAATCCAATGGCAACGTCTTCTGTACTGATAGAATGGCCCAGGCAATCATGTGTGCCCACAAGTCTGTAGACTCCTGGGACCTAATAGCCATCCGTATTGCCGACAAGCTCTTCTTTGACGTGCGGCCAGACTCCAATTTCGGTAGGTTTTGGCGTGAATTTTGCCCTGATGTGCTCGCGATCCCCTTACTGTTAAACTCCAGTTCAGTTATATCAAGGGAAATCTATTTAAACGCCTTTGCATATGAAAAGCGAGCAGCTGCGGGTTAGACGAAAGAGTAGCTGTACATGGCTACCCACTAATCACGAGTAGTATGATAACTATAAACAATAATAATAAGTAATTGTCTGGTTACATTGATAAGTGTGCAGCTGTGCCAATGAGAGTTGTACTGTAAGTATGCGTACATTGGAAATGCTGTTACCTTCTTCTTTCTTCCTTTGACTCTTTAGAGCTCGTGACGGTTGCGGAAACTGCCGCTGATCCTCCAAACGAGGAGCCCGGACACATTAACTGCCCCGAGAAGTTGGCTCTGGAGGCAACTTTCATTAATCTCAATTTCCCACAACAGGTCCTCAACAGTGTAAGTCGCATTACAGCCGATTGAGCATAAGCTCGTAATTCAGACTTAATCAGGCGTTGTATAGTGTGCCTCCCTGAAGCGACTGATCCAGACAACGGGATCAAGTCGTCCTGGTCTCTGAGACCGGGACACAGCGCTTGGTGGCTTAAAATTATCATTCCAACTTCCTTCTTTCTGTGTCTTTCCGAATGCCGTAAAGAGCCAGGAAAACGGCATCGACAGCTATCGACATCACTGTTCGTTAACTTACCGCTGCTCGAAAGTCACTTGATGTACATTTCGGTACATTTAGCACGAAACAGGGAATTTGGATAAACTTAGCTGAAAATTA